GATCCAGAACCACACGGCATTCTGGGGGATGTAGGCAGAGGAAAGGCTTTAGCCACTCGACCTCTCACGGCCCAGCTAAGCTAGGTTGGTGGCATCAACTAACTCACTCAGTCTTTATTAGCAAGAAACAACCTGATGTGTAACATGTGCAGCAGCAGGTCCATGTTTCACCACCGTGCTTCATAAAATAAAAAAGAACGACATGGAGCYGAGAAGGAGAAGACGAGTGAAACAGCTCGAGAATAAAAGAGGAAAGGTCACGTCACTAGTTTGACAGTATTAATCAGCCTTTTTTCTCCTGGTCTGTAAAACAAAAAACTAATCAATAATTATTGATATCAACGGATATAAAACGCTCATATCGAGATATATTTTTCAGTCATACTGCACAGCCCTACTTAAAAGCTACCAAAATATGAGTCAAGTTCTGCCCTGCTAACTCCAGAAAATATCATTCTTTTTTAAACAAAATGACACTTTTCACTTTGTCCTGTTTTAGGCAATTTTTTTGACAAATCAATCAAATATTAGCTCTGTAAGCATAGATAGTCCTATTATTTCATTTGACAAATTTTAAATATTTCTTTGTTTCAACAGAACCAATATGCAGAAAATTCTAGCATCTTTAAGATATTTGTTTTATTTCTTATTGTAGCCACCCAAACCCTTTCATTATTTCTGGACATCTTGATGGGGTTTAAAAAATGTTTAACCTAGATTTTAATATTACTGTATGCATAACCAGAGGGTGTTAGAGAAATGTGACTGAAGCAGAAACAGAGTCCATGTTCTGGATGGAGAGGTGACTCTGCATTCTCCAGATAAGGCTTCATTACAATGCATAATTATTCAGCCCTGGCAGTCTTTAAATGCTGCCTGACCACAAGGGATGCTCAGCCTGCTCGCTTTTCACATAGCCCATCTGCAGAGGCAGACAAGCCAGGCTGGGCGGTAAATGCCAGGGTTGGAAAACAGGCACAGCACAAGAACAGGATGTTTCATACTTTAACATGTCAGGCTTGGATGTAAATCATTTAAAATCCTTTATATATAGTAGAAAAAACATGTAAAGAATTATTTTAAAGTGGGCCTATTATGGGGGTCTTAGCACAAGTTAGGATCCATCTGTGGGCTATAAAAAACATGTTCATTTGATTTAATTCACAAAAAGAATCTCAAATAATGACATTTCACCTTTTCAGTTCTTCCTGTTCTTCAGCTCTCTCTAGAACGTGCAGTATGCAGAAGTTGCTATGGAAACCCCCCTCCCCTATCCCC